TTTTTTCATTGAAACACTGTTCAGCTGATAACACTTACTCAATACGTGTCCCATCGATGTTCTTCGGGCTCATTGGCACCAAAGCGCCTTATCAGGAGCTAGACCTGAATCTTTGCTTGCGGTTGTTTACTATCGAGGACAGTCTTAGTGCGCAAACGGAATGGTGTTGCAAAAGGTGCAATAAATACGTACGACCATCCAAAAAATATGACTTTTGGCGGTTACCCGAGGTCCTCATCCTTCACCTAAAGCGTTTCCGTGCAAATCGCCGAGAGAAGGTCAAAAAATTCGTGAACTACCCAGTAAAGTGAGTTCACTTTCTGCTTGTGTTCTCGCCACTCTTAGACAAGCTCATAAACAAAGCTACTCTCATCTCTTACAGAGCCCTCGAAATATGTAATTCGAGGCAAGTGAAACACGTGTATGACCTCGTTGCCGTCAGCAAACACATGGGTGAACTTGGGAGTGGACATTACACTGCGTATGCTAGGAACCGATACGAAGACAAATGGTATGAGTTCGACGATTCTTTTACGCGTCCCCTCACAGAAGATCCTCTTGTACGTCCGTTATATTTCGAGCCCTGCTGATACCTTGATTTAACATGCAGTTGCAACATTTCCTATGTAGACTCTTTAGCTTCTAAATAAGTTGAAGAAGAAGAACTCTAAACGCCACATTGATTTTAATTTTTCCTGTTTATACAAAAGAAACTGTTCGATATGAAGCAACGCTTTTGCGGAAATATATTTACCGTATTTTTATCCGGCCACCATAATCCTATGCATTAATACTTCCATAACGAGATTAATTTTCTAATATTCTTTCTAAGCGAAATATCTTAAAGTTATACAGCAAGCTATGTTCTAAACGAAGAGTATAAGGCGTCCAATTGTTTTTAATAAGGAAACAATTCTGAGAGTCGACTTCACTTATTTTTCTCCTTCTCGTACGCCAATTGGTTGTCCGAGGCGGTTGACCAAATGATGGAGTGGTTGGAGTGGTGGCCAAGATAAACTGGAACACCACATCTGAAAGTACCACAGACAAGCATACAAGAATTAACCCAGAAGACACACCAACAGTTTACACAAAAGCGTGAAACTCCTCGGATCACGTATGTCACAGTGGAGTTACACGGAGAACCCCGAACCTGTCGTGTAGTCCGGCGTAATCTGCCTGTACCTGCTGA